CTACTTCAAATCAGAGTTTATAATTTGTAAGACTTTTCTGAATTCGTTTTCCTGCTATGAAAACGTGAAAACCAAAATTAACTTTCCATTACTACCAATTTCAATTAATGACAAATTATCCCTGGCAGCAAAGGACCCTTCGGGTGTCTGGAAGTTACTTTCATTGCGTATTAAAATATGTTTTTCCTAGTTTATGTAAACAACATTAAGTAGCCATTGAATTGCTTAATAGCAATAAATAGAGCCATTTGCTTTGCTGCAACCAAGGAAGGAGACAGCCTATCATAGCTCTTTACCAAGACATCAAAGGCTGAGCTGACTTTTTTTTTATGGCTCTCCTTATATTTAAGCGCTAGTTGATTGACCTTTTTTTCCTTTTCTGTGTATCGCTTTCCCTCGGCGAAACTTGTCGGCTATCGATGAGCGAATTAGAACAATTTCAACGGTCACCTTGAGCAGGTTACTCAATTCATAACTTGTCAAGCGAAATCGACCAAAAAATCAGATGAAAACAATAAATATATAATCTAACCTTCCTCATCTTCGTCTATTTCATCTCCATACATTTTCATTGGGTCATAAAACGAAAATGGCGAGCCATGATGGTGCATTCCACCGAAGAAACTGCGAGGAAAAAACGGATTATATGGTACGGCCATTGGAGGCCGTGGAATGCGCGTTGTCACAATGGTTCTTTGGGTCATCGGTGGCGGGCGCATAAACATATATGGATGAACAAATGGATGCATTGGATGCATTATATACTGTCTTTTGCGTTCTTTGTTGTAATCTTTCATGGGTGAAAACGATGGCGGTTTCTTCAACCGCCGACTGGTACTTCGAACGCCATGTTGTTGATCTTTTGAAGTGTAGCGTGAAGATGGTTTTGTTTGTTTCTTTTTGTCTCCATATTGTTGAGTCTTTGTCTTCGTCTTTCTTAAATTAGGAGATCGCTCTTCCCTCGGCCTAGCAGAGATTTCACCTAGAATTAAAAATAACGCACAACCAAGGAGGAAATGCCTTAATCGCGGCTTCATTTTTGACCGGTTTTTCTCTAGGAGAAAATCGGTCAATAGAATTAGTTATTAAGGTGATGCCTTTGTGTTTACGTACACAAGCCATTACTGTTTCGCAATTGGTCACCTTGAATTTCACTTGTCACTCGCTTTCAGGAGCCTCTGTTGAGGATCATAAATAAGAGATCATTCAAGACTTGAAGTTGAGAAATCGCTGGAGCATTAATCAGCTTGTGTTGGTAGTATAAAGTCACTTATCACTCTTCGTCAGTCAAGGTTTACAATAAAGCCAAATTTAAGTTCGACCGTGCTTATCATCCGTTTACGACGACAACTTTGAGATATTTTTCGCAAGTTTTGTAAGGAAAACAAAAAGAGTTAAATGATGTCTTTTGAACTGTCTGTTACATGGTTACTTTTTATTCTTTATTGTGGACAATTAGCGCAAAACATTAACCAATAAACCTTTTTCTCAGTTAAATCAAGCCATTCCGCGGCCTGCTAAATAAGCGAAAATTTTCTCTTATCTTTTCAGAGACAAGTGGCCGATATTACACTGAACATTTTGCCATTCACTGAAAATTGTATTAGCCTGATACAATATTGAAATACTAAATGAAAACCTTTTCAGTGTGTAAAACTGTCTCCGTCCCTTTTACAGGGAACGCGGGCTCATCTATGAATCATCCCAAGGCTATTTTCACACTATACCTTTTGCGCAGGCGCGAAAACCATACCGGATAGGGCTTCTGTTCACACACAAGAACGGTGATTTTTGGCGCCATTTCTGTAACGTCGCGAATGCTGCTCCGTGCCGATCTCTAAAGTGGAGAGTCACATATCGGATAGGTGTTCATACTATACCCGAAAAAAGATTTTTGTGTCGGCTCGAAAAGCTAGCCGTTCTAGTGTGAACATAGACTAAGGCGAGCAATAAATATACAGAGACAACCTAGGAACAGTTTTATTGAACAGCTTTATGTTTGATTTACATTTCTTGAAAGGGTGATTTGCTATTCAGCAACATTCTGCCCTGACTAATATAATATAATATAATCAACTTTTGCCTTTCGAACACTCCGCTGTCACGGACTCTTTTATAATGCGGACAGCAGGTAAATCTCCAGCTAAAAGAAATTATAGACTGACGTTTCAATGATTGTGAAATAACGTAAAAGATTTAGTACAGACGCCCAGGCCGCCGGTCTATTTAATTTTGAGAGCCCAAGCGGGGGCGGTTAATAGATAGGAGGTACTATTTTATTCTCATAACTGTGACAAACTCCACAAAACTAAAATGCTTTTGGCAAATTTATTACCACAGTATGTAAATTGAAGACCACCCAGTCCGTCCATTGATACAAAGCTCTACTTCGATGTCGGAATCCGCCTACATTGACATTGAACAAGATGCACTGCAAACTCTTCTGAATAAATTGAATGGTTTTGTTCCGATCTTTTTCCGCTCACTTTTCCCTTTCGTC